TATATATGTGAACTTCTTATAAACAAATAGTTTTTATGAATATGTATTAAACCAGGCAATTAGTGACCTTGTATAGCCTTAATGGATATCTTTTTGATCTTTGTTTGGCCTGAAGGGAATTTACTCCAATCTTATTATTCTGCATGGTCAGAGTCATGCTTGATTTCCTTAACTTTTGGCACATGGTCAAAGGCAAAGGAAGCTGACTGTTCTGTTAATTGTTAAATTGTTACCATTTTATTTGACGGAATAATTTTCCAGACACCAATTAGAGGTTTTCTGAGGGAATTATGCAGTAACAAAAATCCAGTTCAGATTCAGAGCTGGCCAGCGCTGTTTTCACAGTTATTTTGTGTTTCTTGGGTTTGATAGCAAGCCTTCTGGCATTTGGGGCACAATGCGAGGAGGGGAGCTCTTTGAAGTTGGTCAGGTACCTGTTTCTAAGAGACTGCCAGACACCAAGGAGAATGTGAATTGACTGCTGGGTTAGAAATGTCAGCACGCTTATCTTGGGAGGTGGAATAATAGAGCAGTTTACAGAAGCACTAAAGATAGATTAGATTAGATTCCATAGAAACTGGCGCTGCTGCTTTTCTTTGGGGAAATGTAAAATACCAACACAAGATGCTCATTTTTAATTCACTTTTTCTTTCTCAGAAGAGAAACTTAAAACACTAGTCAATTATTTTTTATATTTCCCTCAAACTATTTAGTGTTTTTTTTTTCTCCTGACACTTAAAATAAAAAAAAAAAAAACCTGGGATATTTTAGCCACCTGTTTAGGATTCTAAGTCAGTATTTGTGAAGAGTGGAAAAAGATTCAGTCTGAGCTTCACCATTAGAGGGTAGACTGGATTTGGGGGAGAAGTCAAGTAAACGCTGTCAGATATGCAAGCACGGTCGTCTTCAAGTTGGCACCGTTGAAGGAGACCTCCACGCGCTTTCCTCTGCAGGTCTGTGTTGAACTTCAAGGAGAAGGGCTTATTATATTTTCCCTAGCCATTTATTCAGTTTCCTCTTATTATTTAAACTTATGAACTTTAAAATGTCTGCCTGTCAAGTCTTGGTTTGCTGTTTGCTTTAAAATGTCCTGAAATGCTGGTGTGTGGGTCTCAGGGGCAGCAGTCCCAGTAGAAGGGAGGGTCCTGGGTGGGCAAGGCAGCAACAGATCTACTAAAAAATCCAAACAAGAGCAATAACAACCACTTATGGCAAAGATCACTTCAGAGGGGTCTTAGAAAGTTCTATTGAATTTCCCCAATGTGAAAGCCAGGAGTTACGGTTTTCAGGTGCATTTTGAGGGTGACTGACCGCATTGAATTTGAAGCCCAAACTTCATATTTGCACTCCAAGGTTGGGTGTGTTCTCATGTACCTTGAGTATAATTATACTAGCTCTACATATTCAGAAATTTAAGAAGAAAATGACACATATCAGTGAAGCGGCGGCTTAGATTAATATAGACAAATGGTGTAGGTATTTGTACAACTTTAATGAAAACAAGACTCACGAAACCAAGGTTCCAGCGAAGTACAAGAAGCGCGCCCAATTTATCAGTAAACATTCGCCCGAGGCGAGCCCGCCCCCAATGGGCGGGCTTATCCCTACATATCAGGTTTTCTCATGACACTTTACATTTGATAAGCACTTACATGCTTTAGGAATGAACATTTTAAACATTATATTCAAACAGTGAGATACTTAGTACAATTGCTAGGTTGAAACATGCACACAAAGCTTCTTAGACGTCACCGAGTGGTTGCGTGACAAGCCTGTATGACCACCTGCTATTTCAGTTTTTATTTTGAATTTAACCCTTGAAGTCATTACATTCATTTTAATAATGATAGATCTTTATTTGTGCACTCATATCTGTATCTGGTTGCTGATTGTTTATTGGAATTATTAAAATAAACTCAAAAATATATGACTTGGTGTTTTAGACACTCGAAATTGTGTAACAATCAGGTATCTGTGGTTTGGGCGTCAAGGAAGACATGAGGCCCAGAGACTAATGGCATGATAACCCACCACAATTTACCATCAAGGCAATTATTTTAGACAGATAGTTTTAACAACCCACTCAAATGTTTGGAAAGACAAAGTTTTAGGGCACAACTCATTTCCAGAAGGTTTGTGGTTTTGTGGACAGATAGTTGTAGCAACCGAAGGAGATGATTTGTAAGGAACAGAGTCTGGAAGACACATCTGCATTTTCAGATGTTCCCTCTTTTGTTCTGGGCCCCAGAAATGTGCCTACATAGGACAGAAAATCATACATAGCCCAAAACTGGAGAAAGGGAAATATCACAATATATTCCAAACATAAATTCATAAGGGAATAAGTTATAAGACCAAGAAAGAAGACTGCCAAAACATACTAATATACATTAGATATAGATATATCTATATAGATATAGATTTCTAGAACTTGTCTAGAAAGGGATACATACATGCATGCATGTATCCATCCATCCATCCATCCATCCATCCATCCATCCATCCATCCATCCAAGTGTCACTACCTCGTTTCTTTCTAGAATGACTTTTTGTTACCTAAGCACAGAAAACCAGAGTTCTGTTCCTGGAAGTATGCATGCTGTCATCTGGCTCATCTGTAACTAGCTCACGTTCCAGGATTATTATGCAGACTCTTTTTCTGGCCAGAGACGCACAGGTTTGCGTCTTCTCTGATTCACATATATATATTTCAACACGTCCTTTTGTAACTCGACTTACACTTTTACACTTGAAATATATTGTGATATTTCTCCCTGGCTCCTTTTTTTCCCAGTGAGAAAACAGGAGGAGGACTACATGATACAAAATAAAGCAATGACCGTGACTTGTTCTTTGTACTGCAGTGGGAAGCAGCTGGCTTGGGGACTTGGAGATACCAGTGTCTGACTTGATAGCTTATAATATATATCTATATATTAAATTGTTATCTAGATTCAGGTAGCAAGTTACAGAGGCAAATGTGAGTCTTTCCTTCTGTATTGGAAGATACTTCTAGTGTTTTACAATTTACTTTTTTTTTAATGTGTGAACAAAAAGAGTAAAGAGGATTGCAAGAATTTTCTTTGTCCTTTAAGCTCCTAAATTTGACAGCAACTTACTTTAGCACTCAAAACACTTAGTAAACAAAATTAAATAATGATTCTTTTTTTCTTTTTAAGTTATTTTTCTTGGAAAAATAATCAAGAGAAAGACATGCATGTTTGGGCAGTGATTTGACCAGATAGCCTTGTCTGCTCAGTGTCTTGGAGGGAATTTCTGAAAGTTTTCATTCAACAAAGGGATATTTCTTGAGCAAAGACTTCCAAATCTTTCTATTCTTTGAGGTTGACTACCCATCAGTCACTTTTGTGGGAAAATCAGTCATTTGCTCTTTCCTTTTCACAGCTATGCAGAGCTTGTTTTATACAGGTGTTGGTCGCCTTTGCTCGCCATTGTATTTTAAGGCTCCCTCAATCTCTTAGAAAACCTCTGTGCTGCTTCTGTGTGGAAAAGGTGTACTGCAATTGTTAAGTGACAGACCCTGGACACTTAGGACATTTTTCTGATTCATACTTTGTGCTTGTTGCATATGATCCTAAAGTTTTTAAAGAATAAGTTGAAGACTCAGTATTTTTTTTTGTGTGTACTGGCTGATATGTTGGTATGTTTTGTTACATTTATATTCCCCTCTTTCTCAGATTGAGTATCTCTACCCAATAATTGCCCCTCTGTCTCCCTCAAGTACCTAGAACAGGGCTTTACACAGTTAGGAAAATGGGGGACGTAGGCGCCATAGCAGCCTTCACCACAGGACATGGATTTAGGAATATTCATCCACAGAGGTATAGGGTGAGCTTATGAAGCTTGACGTGGTGGAGGCAGATTTGGAATCTCTGCGGGAGCAGCCGTTGTTGGCACTTGGGTCTTTGGGCAGCGCCCTTTTCTTCCGGCTGGACTTGGCTGGGTCCCCGTCATTGGGATCAAACAGCACGGTCACCGACTCCATCCTGCTCACGGTGTACAGACTGCTCTGCCGCGTGGGGTGAAACCTGGTGGTCTTGAGCTCCAACTCGTCATAGGTAGACACTTGGATGAAAGGACACCAGCGAAATGCTCTCTTGAAGCCCGCGCGGAACCTGAGAGGCAGGAGAGAAAAGTTGTTTTCAAGTGGGCATTTCCTTCAGCTGCCTTCAAAAAGGATATAGGCTAACGCTGGTTTTGAATTTAGCTAAATTCTACAGAGGCTTAAGTCTGTGCTACAGAATCAGTTCAGTGAGTTCTTGTTCAAAAAAAAAAAACCATTTCTGTCAACGGGGAGATAATTCATCAAATTGAAAAAGCATGGGGTTATCAACGTGGGAAACGGCTTGTTGGCAATAATCTCATGCATTTACATAACTAATTGCATGAGGCTGGCAAGTTAAAGTATTTAAAAATGGCATACTATATTTCAAATGTTTTTTTCCAGAAACAATTGCACATTTACGACTTTGACTCATTTAATGTTAGAATTAATTGTTAATATTTATGGTTTTACTTAATCATCTATAAATATGTGAAATTCTTACTGTACATCATTAAATGAAGTTGATTTAAAACAGATTTATTGCTTGTACAGTGGCTTAAATTGAGGAAAGGCTTATGCAATTAGTTTAAAAAGAATGAAGTATTTAAGCAACTTAAGGCACAGGTCTCTTGGTGTCTTTCCAAGCTAAGAAGTTAGTACTTACGTCTAATAAAGAATCATTTCTGTTGGCCTATAAAATCCACCGGTTGATTGAGAGAATTGTCAACCATGTGGCATTTTGTCTTACTCCTCTGTGTTTAATGCACCGACAAAGTGGGGTTTGGTTTTTGAATTTTTAATTTTTTTTAAAATATAGAGGGCACAGTTAACCTTCTTTGCAGTATTACATTGGTCATCAAGGCTCCTGCTTTATTTAAAGGCAAGATCTCACTTTGTATCCTTCGCTCAATGCAAATTCACAGTCTCTCCGTCTCAGTCTTCTAGACTGCGGAGAAATCAGGCTTGTGCCACCAAACATGGCACAAAGTATGATTTGTCTTTAAAAAGATCTTCTGCTTGACCTCTCCAACCTTCTCACTAGTCATCCCATGGAAACTACACCCTCTCTGTCACTCTGCAAGACTGTGTGGGCAGGACAGGAATTCTTGCTTCGATAGTGATCCCCATTTTGAAGGATATTGATAGGAGAACTTTCTGAGCCGAGCAGAGCCCATCATGTATACCACTATATCCCCTCCCATAGAAAGTGTATTTTATTTCTTTTAAGAACTCTCATGTCTTTGGGATTGTGGATAAGCCTTCACTCATGAGGAATTCTTTTACAATACTAGATACAGTTCTGAGGGTTTTAAGGGGAGAAGTTGCCTTTTGTAAAAACCACCCAGCGAAAACTTCGAATGCAGTGATTCTTGACCTATTGGTCATGGCAGCTTTGGGGGTTTAACTGCCCTTGCACAGGGGTCGCCAAAGACCATTTAAAAACATATTTACATTACAATTCATAACAGTAGCAGAATTACAGTTATGAAATAGCAATGGAAAGAGTTTTGTGGTTGGGACGCATGACAACATGAGGAACTGTATTGAACGGTCACAGCATTAGGAAGGTTGAGAACCACAGTAGTGCTGACCCTTTCAAGAACCCAAGTTTTAAGGTGGGGACATTTTGTGAAGTATAAAAAGCCTGCATCAAGCTTTGTGTTCCCCTCTGAGTTCTTACACTGAACACGAGTTCTCCCATGTCTGGACTTTAAATCAGCACCAAGAAACCAGAGTGCTTCCAGAGAAGGTGGAAGGGTTAAGAGACCTGGTATTCAAATACCTTTTATTCAAACAGCAGTAGATGATGGGATTGTACATGGTTGAGCTCATTGCTAGCCAGAAACTAGCCAGGTAGATCTGCTGGATGTATTTCCACCGGTTCAGCTGTTGGTAGACGGCGGTGAGAATGAAATAAATGTGGTAGGGCAGCCAGCAGATGGCAAATGTCACCACAACAACGATCATCATCTTTACAACCTGGGAAGGAAGGGTAAAATCACCGTGAGCAAGTTAAAAAGTCATTAGAATAGTTTCAGTAACTTTCTACAGGTTATTTTGAAGCAATATAGTGAAATACATAAACTATATAGCATACTTAATGACTAGCTGAAGCACTGTAAATGGTAAAAATGAATATACTCTCTCTATATTTTTGCATACACAATGCTTATTTAAGCTGAATATATTATTCAGGTATATTATGCCACAATTCCATCGTTACCTAATAGTAAGTGACAGGCACACAAATATGAATGAGTGTATTTTCATTGGTCTGGACTAGGGCTAGGGATGTAGTTCAGTGGTAGAGTATTTGCCTGGAATGCACAATAAGAGCCTGGTTTGATCCTCTGTACCATGCACACACAAAAATTGACCTAAGAATGTGTTTACAAAAACCCGTGGAGAGGAAGGCAGGTACTAGTTTAGGTCATGATAACATGGAATGTGTAATGGTGAAGATATATTTATGGAAACTAAGCCATTATGAAGGTATATTATTCTACGAGAGATGGACTGGTTCTTTATTCTTTGTAATAGTCTTCTCAGCGTTATAGACCATTTAAATTTTGTTAATATTGTTCTCACTAGGCAACTGTCTGAGTATTTTTTGTAGAGATACTGTCTCTGAATAGTGATTATTAATATAATAATCTAAGGAAATTTCACTAACTTACAATTTATAAGTAAGTGTTTGGTTTATATGGTTGATTTGTGTTAGTGCCATTTACTGGTAGGTAGGGGTTGGAGAGATGGCTCAGCGGGTAAGAGCACTGCCTGCTCATTCAAAGGTTCTAAGTTCATTTCCAATTATCTTCATGGTGACTCACAACAATCTGTAATGAGATCTGTCACTCTCTTTAGAAAGAGAACTGGTCAGTCGTCCTCATCAACTTAGACCAGGAAGCTCAATATGGACAAGTTCAACAGAACCGCCATATATGGGCTGCCCATGCATGCCTCAGCATTGCCAGGGTGTAAATTTCATTTTTTTTTTTTAGAGATGGATGTTGTTTTCAGAACAAGGAGAGTACCTGTTTTTTCTCACAGAATCTCAAAAGGAATCTTCTTGGATACTAAGTTTCATTTTTTTGCTTCTGTAAGTTTGAAATTTAATATCTAGAAGATTCCATTTGAGTAGGACAAGATTGTGTACTGATTCCTTTAGAGTTGAAATCTTCCTCCCTGAAGGAAGGCCCTTGAAGGTTTTGGGAGCTCTAAGTGGAAATGTTTCCTCAGGGAAGTAGAGTGGGAAGCTCATGCATGATACTCAAAGAGTAAGCAATCCATATATCCCTGAAAGTCAAATATTGCAAGTTCTTGGGGTTTCTCCCTGAGGTTAGAGAAATAGTAGATAGTTGCTGGAGAAGAGATCTGACCTGTCTGCTGCCTTCCAGTCATGCAGATACCTTAGGGATGCAGCTTTTTTGAGTCAGCGTTTGGGGATGCAGTTGCCTTGAGTTGCCTCTGCTCGAATAAATAACTCTTTGCCCATATTAATTTCAGCACCACAAATGAACTGATTGTTTTATTGATTGAACTCCACTGTAATTATTACTTTTTTCTGTAATTTGTTTCCTATCTGGGGTGAGTGGAAGTTTGTGTCATGCCTCCCCAGTCTTAGAAGCTATTATATATAGGGTTGAGGAACAAAAATTACAGTGTCAGAGGTGTGCTGACGTTCTATGAGTTATTATTCAGGGAGGCTCCCTAGGCCCCACAAATCATAAAGGCTATTATCTCTCTTGTTAATGGCATGCCAGACCTAGCTGATAAGAACCTACTGCTGAAGTTACCGAATGCTGTATTGATTAACAATAGTCCTACTTGGCTACAAACCCTGAATGCTGCAGTACCAAAATACCATGTAGTGGATGTCTGCTGATGCAGTGATGGCCTGACTAGAATCAACAATTTTCTGGTTGAATTTAAGGCTTGCTCCACAGGAGGAAATTCACATCTGATACTGTAAGCTAGGATTCAGTGGTAGGGGAGAAAAACCACTGCTACTGCTTTGTTAAATGGGTGTTATGTCTCTATCAAAACGTTTTCAAAACATTTTTGCTTATACTCCCGCCGTTCACTGTTAGTTGTTGTCAATTTCAGTCATGGAAGTCATGGGTTACCATAAAGACTTGTAACCTCTGGTGAAACCATGAGAAGTGACTATGGCTGTGGCATAGTGGTCCAATGCCTACCTTTAGATATGCATCTAGATGATGGCATAGCTCAGTGGTATATAACTTGCCTTTCATGCAAGAGGCCCCAAGTTCAATCTCTAGCAACACGCACACACACACACACACACACACACACACACCCCGTGGTTAAGATGGTAGATGGCTGTTTGTAGGAAGTTAAGACCTACTAGGCCAAGAGGAGCCAACCTGGAGTCTGCCTGGTGCTGTCAGAAGTCCTGATCATGCCTAGCCAATGAGGGGTGACCACGTGATGTCAGCTGTCAATGGATCAGAAGGCTTGGGTGCTGGGAGGGTTTATAAGTTTTTTTCATTGTTAAATAAACAACTCTGCTCTATCCCTTTCTTCAGACTCCCGGCATCTGTGACCATTGACATCATACCTTCTTATCTCCTCCCCTGAAGATGTTAGGGTCCAGTTACAGCTATCTACAGTACCCCTGTAAGGTTCAGAAACATAGATGAGAGATCCAAAGAACGTAAGAGCTGGAGAAAGGGATGAAGTTCAATTTCCTCATAGCTAGAACATTCTATATTGATGTGAGGTTCCTTAAGTTCTGAAAAGTTTTAAGTTAAAACATGGCCTCCAAGAAGAAGAGGGTGAGTTTAGAAGACTCAATAAGTAAATAAACTTCACATATCTGGGGAGGTTGAAAATTATAAGAGTCATTGGCCCTTCTCCATGGTTGTAGAAGCATTCAACAATCACTCGAGAAGAGATTCTATGACATGTGGAGTTGACACTGTAAGCCATACAGAGAGATCTAGGGATGCAGCCTTTATGAGCAAGACATCACCCACCGTGTTGGGGTGAGCTTTTCAGTAACATGGCTGCCTTTGACTTGTCTCTTCTAAGTAATGCCTTAGCCATACTCCCTTAAGTAGCCTGAGTAAACTCATTCATTCACCAAGTCGACTCTGGTGTAATCATTACTCTGGTCTGTCTTTGGTTCTCTATCTGGAGTCAATAAAAGTTTGTATTGTGTCTCCCCAGGAAAAGTATCACAAAATGCCAATTTCTATTTCTCCTCTACCTGCCCTTGAGTTCATGAAAAGCAGAGATAAGCCAACACAAGATCAGTCTCTAATATATTTGGGGATAAAAAAATAGACAAAGAATAGATGCACGATGAGCAACAATTGGAGTGAAAGGAAATAAATGGAAGAATGTTTTATGTGTCTATGATTGAACTAAAATCTCATCTATGTGTCTATAAGAAAGATAGAAACAAAAACATCACACAGTGATTGTATCATCAATATGATTATCTCTTTTAATATTTCTCATTATACAGGCACCTGAAATCTCTTCATACTCCTTTAGGAATTTAGAAATAATAAGTTCAGAATAAGATATATCCAATAAAACAATTTTGAGGCATAACCATAGTCAGATTAACACAACTCAAAGGAATAACTTGATGCATGGCCCATGAGGCATCTTAGAAGTAGAAAAATACATTATTTATAAATTCCACTTGCCATTTGACTACAAGTTGTGAATTTAGATGAGAGTTGGCAAGGTTAAGAATCACGAGAGACATTATTCTAGAAACAGACAAAGCCTGAAATGGTCAATGCGAATGGTAATGCTTCTCTTAGGGTCTAAATGCTGGATAGTACAGGTGATTAGTGCTGACCTCAGGGGAAACTGGCCATTAGAGCAGAAAATCCAGGCCAATAGCACAAAGAATGTTGTCATTGTCTCTCCAAGTCATTTGATTTTTGTCATTATTCTTTAAATTTTATTTTTATCTGAAGATCAAATTTCTGCAGTTAGTTTCATGGTTCTTACTCATGTATTTGGGAAATTCAAATAAGGACCATGCTTTAATTAATTCAGCATTACACATTTCAACAGGTTATGATCTCTCTATTGTTCAGGGGGAAATTAAAAACTAAAAGGTTTAACTGCTGTCTTTTATGGGATGAAGCTAGGGTCCTTATACTCAGACCCTTACTCCTTTGTTCTTTATTTTTTATTTTTTTCCATGAAATAAAACTTGGAGTTTAATTAAAAACATTACAAATACATTTAACAAAGAAATAAAACTCTTCTGATTATCAACTTGGAGACTCCAAGAATCCCCAAACATTGGAGACCCAGCTTATTCCTGGGGATCTGAAATCTTACTGAGAGGGCCCAGGACAAGCCGGGTGGTGGTGGCGCACGCCTTTAATCCCAGCACTCGGGAGGCAGAGGCAGGCGGATCTCTGTGAGTTCAAGACCAGCCTGGTCTACAAGAGCTAGTTCCAGGACAGGCTCCAAAACCACAGAGTCCTTTGTTCTTTATTAAAGCTTGATGGAGCCAATGACAACATGTGGGATATTTTTTGAAGTTGAAAAAGGTATATTGCTTCTGAGGCAATAAGATTTTCCACGATAGTGTTTGTGTCTTACCATCCTGTGTTGTCTGTGGTATAGGATTTTACCAGCAACAAGAGAAGGATGCACAGACTAGTGAGGCCGATCTTAAAAGGCTGTGATGTTTGCTTCTATTTGTTTACTTTAGTTTTATGTTATCTATCCACCTACTTACTTATTTTTGAATGTGTGTGAATGGTGTGGGAAGTCCTTTTGTATATGTGTTGCTTTTATTGGTTAATGAATAAAGAAGCTGTTTTGGCCCGTGGTAGGACAGAATAGAGCTAGGCGGGGAAAACAACTGAATGCTGGAAGGAAGAAGGCAGAGTCACAAGGAGCTGTCAAAGGAGAAAGATGCAAGCTGCCAGCTGGAACCTTGCCAGTAGGCTATGAGCTAGAAATATGCATAAGTTAAT